CCCAAAAGCCCTTTCCTGTGGGCTGGGAGCAGCGGGAGGGATGGTGGCCGGGAAGCCCCTTCCTCTGGACCAGGAGCAGTGGGACAGCGGCTCAGAAGCCCCTACCTGTGGGCCGGGAGCGGTGGGATTCAGTACAGTGGTCTGGTGGTCCGGTGTCCTCTTCGTTTTTGTAGTGTGGAACCAGGTGGCTGTACAGAGGAGCGGGGGTGGGGGGATCCAGTGGCTTGTTGCCGGGGTGCAAGCTGATTCGGTGTGTTCCATGCGACTCGCGACCTCCGTAGGGCATGTGCCAACAATAGAATTCTATTAAATGCTACTGAGGACCAGGGGAAAAGGAACCTTTCTATACTACTAACAGAATATAAATTAGTACAACCACTATAGAAATCAATATGGAGGTTCCTCAAAAAAGTAAAAATTACCATTTGATCTTGCTATACCACTCATTAGTGTATACCTGAAGGAATTAATTTCAGCATGCCACTGGGATACCTGCAAACCCATGTTTATTGTGGCACAATATACAATGACCAAGATATGGAGCCAGCCTAAGTACTCATCAACAGATAAATTGATAAAGAAATTAAAAATAATGTGGTATATATACACAGAAGAATATTATTTAGCATTTTTTTTAAAAACCTGAAATTTTGTCATTTGCAGAAAAATGGAGGGACCTGGAAATCATATTGAGTGGAATAAGCCAGACTCAGAAAGACAGATATCTCATGTTCTCCGTAATATGTGGAATATAAAAAAGATGACAAGAAAGTAGAGCTGGGGATATACCTCAGTGCTAGATGACTTGCCTATCATGCATGAGTCCCTTGGGTCAATCTCCAGTATTGCAAAAAAGAAAAAATCCTAAATATACAACAAATAAAGTGCCAAAAATGACAGCTCAGTAAATCAAAATTTCAACCAGGCATGGTGACTGTAATCCCAGTGCTTGGTAGGAGGATTGCCACAAATTTGAGGCCAACCTGGACTACATAGCGAGTTCAGGGCCAGCCTGAACTCTCCATAAAGAGTCCCTGTCTCAAAAAACAAAAAGAAGGGAGACTGTTATTAGACAAGTGAAAGGGAAGTGGGGGAACATGTTAAGGGTAGGTTATAGGGGACGTGAATATGATCAGAATACATTATACATATTGAAGTCCCCCTCTCAAAGTGGAAACTAAGGGGGAAGATGGGGGAGAGGGTAATAGGGGTTATTAAAGTATGTTATGTGTATGTACAAATCTGCCAAAATGAAACCCATTAATCTGTATAAATAATTAATATACACGAGTAAAAATATGTGAGGGAAAATGTCTAGCACAAAAAAAAGGAATTCTAGCTCGTCAGGGTCCAGATGGGCACCATCTAATCAGCATGGGAGTTTTGACCTCCGTTTCTGACCTGGACCGGTTCACCCCTCCTTAGGCAACCTGGTGGTCCCCTGCTCCTGGGAGGTCACCATATTGATGCTGAACTTAGTGCAGACACCCAGTAGGCATAGCACACTGCAGCCCAGAACTCCTGGACTCAAGCGATCCTCTCACCTCAGCCTCCCGAGTAGCTGGGACTACAGACTCGTGCCACCAAGCCTGGGGATGGACACTATCTATGATATCAGCTTCTTGGGATGCTGAGGCAGGAGGAGCACAAGTGTGAGGCCAACCCAGGCAACTCAGCGAGAGACTCTGTCTCAAAACATTTTAAAAAGGACTGGGGATATGTAGTTCAGTGGCAGAGCGCTTGCCTAAAAATACAAAAGCACAAAGCCCTGGGTTTAATCTCAAGTACAAGGGTGGGGATTCACACAGTTCTCACAAACTTTGATCATAGTCAAGCACTGTAGTCTTACTGAAACTTCTGGTTTATAAAATTTCAAACTGTCCTAACCTTTTTTAGCAGTCTGACTTCAGGATTTTACTATTTGTGGTTGACATTTATGGAGTGTTTAGACAGTCTAAATCTGGCTAAAGTCCACGGATTCAGTATGGGACCCGGCACAGTTCCTTTACGCTTCACATTCCAATATGCTTTTATAATAGTCTGATTGAGGCACTGTAAAAATTTATTTAGCTCCAGAGTTTGCAAGCAAATCTAAACATGAAAGTGGTCTATTGGAAGTTTCATTTAAAATTTTCTTTTTGTAGGGGCCGTGGTGTTGGACCACCTCGAGGGGCTTTGGTGCGTGGTACCCCAGTGAGAGGTGCCATCACCAGAGGTGCCACTGTGACTCGAGGAGTGCCACCTCCACCTACTGTGAGGGGTGCTCCAGCACCAAGAGCACGGACAGCAGGCATCCAGAGAATACCCTTGCCTCCACCCCCTGCACCAGAAACATATGAAGAATATGTAAGAATGTTTTGAACAGTGTACCATTTCCCAAAACCTGGAAGGTTTCCCAAGGAAGTTAAATAACAGGGTTTAACCCTTTATGTAGGTGAGGGACTACTAAGATTTAGAATATACCTTCCTGTACAGTAAATGTTGAACTCAGATTTTTCCATTTTAGGCATGGTTTACTACTTGTATGTAGATATATGGAAAGTAAGCTGTGGTTTAATGTACAATGTTTTACTGAGGAATCTTCTCCTACTACTGATAATACAAAAGCTCAGGGGTTTCTGTTTTTGCTTTTTTGGTTTTTTGCAGTACCGGGGATTGAACTCAGAACCTTGCCCTTGCAAGGCAGGTGTGGCGCCACTGAGCTAAATCCCCAGCCCAAAAGCTCAGTTTTGTACTTCTTCATTCACACTTGTCCTGTGGTATATCATATTTGTTTGGGTTTTACTTGTGTGTGTGTTTAGTAACTCTTTCTCTTGACTGTTTCATAGTACTAATATTTTGGAGGAAAATTTCATGTCCTGTTAATCCAGAGGCCTGTTATTAATCCAGAAGGCTGTTATACCCAGGAGTCTGGTATGGGATGTAATTACTTTTCCCTACTGTCTGCAACTCTGACCTTGTGTTTCTTTTCTTTTCCTTTTTTTTTTTTTAAAGGGATATGATGATACATATGCAGAACAGAGCTATGAAGGCTACGAAGGGTATTACAGCCAGAGCCAAGGGTAAGTGAGGCAATACAAGTGTGTTTGGTGTCCTAGGGATGAGTGGATGAAGTTGGAGGAACTCAAATAGGCAGCACAGGGGCCGGGGATTTAGCTCAGTGGTTCTGATGCCTGCTGCGTAAGCGCAAGGTCCCAAGTTCGATCCCCAGTACCAAAACACAAAAAAATAGGCAGCACATACCTATGGAACGGTATGGCTCATATTTTGAAGGTACTTCTGCTTTTGACATCTGTGAGTTACACACTTGTATATGGAAATTTGGATAACTGTGAATTTTGAATTTAGAATCTGGGAAAACATATGAAAAATTTCTGAACTGTGACTTTGTGGAAACTAAAATACCTTTAAATAATTTTGATTTATTATTAAGAAATACCTGGGCTGGGGATTTAGCTCAGTGGTTCCGCCGCCTGCCTCGCAACCGCAAGGTCCTGAGTTCGATCCCCAGTACCAAAAAAAGGAAATACCCTAGCTTCATTAAAGTTGCCTAAAATTTTTAGAGGGAGCCAATAGCCCACTGCAATAACTTGGGTTATTTTTTCCATTTCTCTTCTAAAAAATTTTTGTGTGTATATGTATCTTGTCTGGGATGGATTGAAAAAGTCTCAGAATTTTACAGTAAGGATAGAATAGCTCTTTTCTTGTTTATTCTCTTATAGTGAACTCAGTGAATATTTATTACACTCTGATTAAGGGGAATCAATGTAGGATTCGGCTTTTCACCTTAATTGTGTGTTACCTATTTTTCCTTGCTATAATTAAACCTTTTTTGTCGGTATATAGTGTATATGTGTTTCAGAAATATTTTGGAGTTTCAGAGATGGGATAGAATAAACATTTTCTTGTATTTAGCACACAGTACAAGGACTGAGTGGAGGTATATGAGAAAAAACTAGAACTAAAACATAAATTACTTTATAGCTTTTTAATACTCTTGTCTTTGGTTTTCAGGGATTCAGAATATTATGACTATGGACATGGGGAGGTTCAAGATTCTTATGAAGCTTATGGTATGTCTTTATTTATGTGATGGGCAGAATGTACAAGTAAGTGCCTGGGAGAATACTGGTGACTAGATTCATGGAAGTCAGTTATGTGCTTAGGAAAAACCTTTAGAAGATGATGGTGTTGATAGCTGTGATGTTAGGAGTCTATTCTATCACGTGCAGTAGAAAAAGGGACTATAAAGTGGGATGAGAGTGGGGTACTGGTATTCATGGGAGGCTAAATACATGTCTTAAACTAGGGCTCAGATGCAGCTTGGCTGGGCTAGAACAACAGATTTTTTAGCAGATGTTGATAATTTTTCTTTCAGCAGGGGACACCTAGACCTCCATTATTTTTCCTGGCTAATGTTTAGGCTACATTGATAGATGACAAGAACTTAATCATTTCTAGCTCTGCTCTTCTGCTCCACCTCATTTTTAAAGAAAATTTTGGATCCCATTGAAAAGAATCTGAATGTAGAGGAGATGCCAGCTGAAAGGAACACAGATAGCAGGCCAGCTCATCAGAGCAGGTGTATTAATCAGCCTCTGGAACACAATACCCAAGCTTAAAGAGGAGAGGTTTAATTTGGCTTTTGGTTTCAGGGGTTCAGTCCATGGTCAGCTGGCTATAAGGCAGAAACATGGCGGAAGGATATTTCAGAGCAAAGATGATTAGTTCATAGTGACGGGGAAGCAGAGCAGGGGGACAGTGCCATAATAGAGGAAGGGGTCAGGAACTATACATAGTATCACAGGTCACACTTTCATGACCCACTCAGACACACCAAGAATCTTAATCTAGTCATGTTAACATTCCAGTAAATGGTCACAGTAGGTTAGGGTTGTAAGAATAGTGCTTGGTAGAACCAGATCAGAAGCTGCAATTCTGGAACCATATAAGGGCAGTACTGGTACCATGTCCCTTACTGGGTTGTAGACATCTCAGTTCAGTCCTCCCAAGAAAGCAAGAGAGGCTGGAGCAGCAGCAGGACCAAACTGCTTTCCCTGAGATTTGGTTGAAAACACATTGCTCAAGTGTGTCCTGAAGAGCCAAGTATGGCTTCATGTAAATGGGGTCCAGCGGGAATGCCATGTTGCAGTGGATAGAGAGAGAGCAGCCTTTTAAGTGTGAGGGCTTTTCCTCATACCTAAGGGACTTCCAGAGAATCCTTGGCAAGGGGCTCAGCAGCTGAATGTTTATCTGAAAACACTAGTTGATACTCTCTTAACCCTAGCTAAAAAGAAGAACTTCTTAGGGCCTCCCTCAGACAGACAAGCTAAGCCTCAGCATGGTATGAAATAGCCAATCAACTGCTTGCTGAGGGGTGGGTGGGGTATGGTGGTTAAACCAGTTTTAGGTAAATAATACTGAACAGTTGCCATCAGTTAACACTGTACTTCTCTGCTCATACACTAGTATTTAGAAGGGCAGTATGATTGTATCCAAGTATTTCTTCCATCTGTGAGACAGTACAATGGGGCCTCTGTATGTGTTTGAGTACACTGCATTTCTGTTTTACTGGAAGGAAGACCAAACTATAAAAAGAGGCTGTTCCTTTTGCTTTTGCTGTGATGTTGCCATGGTTAATTTGTCCTCATCTCTGCCTTTATAAACAGAATTAGAAAAATAAATTGTCTTCTGGATACCTAAAAACCTATTGGAAAGTGATGGACATATGTAATTATATTAGGGGTATAAATAGGGTTCTAGGTGAGTTTAGGTCTATATAGGAGTTTAAGACGTGTGGTGATGGAAGCAGGTGTTTGTAAATACCAGCAGCTGTAGAAATAAGTACTTCAGGATGAACTAGCATAGGGAAGATGGGAGAGTGAGTGTGGGAAGAATAAAATAAGCTTAAGCGCAACCTATTTTCATAGAGGTCATCTGTAGAAGTGGTTGTCTCCTTCCAGGCTTTTCTCTGTCACAAAGGAAAGCCATTTGAAGATGTCATCCATGTTTGTCTGGCTTTTCTCAGCTGTTGACATAAAGGAACTAAGGAGTTCTAACAATTTTTGTAAATGCAACATTTGATTCTACTTAGATAGTAAAGCAGTGAGTACCACCTCTGTGGACAGCATCAGTTAATGTAGCCCTTGCTTGCTCCTCCGAGAGCCAGAGGACACTTCTACATAAGGAAAACTGACTTGCTATTACATACTTCCAATCTGAAAGACTTCCAGAATTTTTGTCACATTGTCTGAAGCTGCCTACCACATTGCTTTGGGAATAGGGAAGGCCATTTCAGACACTGAGATTAATGACTGCCTCACTGTCTTAAGCAAGATGTTGGATTTATGCAGGTTTGAGGACTGGGGTATCAGTCATGCTGCCTTGTTGCTGGAGATTACTGAAGAGTAAATGCTACCCTTTTCAGAGTTGTTCCCCTTTCTTTTTCCACTCAAAACTGGTAAATAGTCCAGATACTCAAAGAGACCAAGCAGAGTGGTGATCAAGAATCACTAAAAGAGGTATCAAGACACTGGTAGAAAGGGGTCTTATAGCTGGGCATGGTGGTATACACCAGTAATCCCAGCTGCTCAGGAGCTTGAGGCAGAAGGATCCAAAGTTTGAGGCCAGCCTCAGCAATTTAATAAGAACTTGTCTCAAAATTTAGTGGAATTGTAGTGTACACAGGTAATCCTAGCACTCTGGGAGTCTGGGGCAGGGGGATTGCAAGTTTGAGCCCAGCATGGGCAATTTAATGGGACCCTGCCTCAAAATAAAAAATGAGGCTAGGTGGGTGAGGGATTTAGCTCAGTGGTGCTGCCTCCTGCCTCATAAGTACAAGGTCCCAAGTTCGATCCCTGAGGTACCAAAAAAAAAGTCTGGGTATGATAGTACATACCTATAATCCCAGGATTTGGGAAACTAAGGCAAGAGGATCACTGTGAGTTCAAGGCCAGCCTGAACTGCACAGTGAAGCTCTGCTAAAAATAATAAAAAATAGATTCGGGCATGGTGGCTCACACCTGCAATCCCAGCACTTGGGAGGCTGAGACAGGATTGCCATGAGTTCAAGCCCAGCTTGGGCTACATAGTTTAAGTCTAGCCTGAATTACAGAGCAAGACCCTGTCTCAAAAAAAAAAAAAAAAAGATAAGGAATACAGTTCAGTGTGAAGGCCCTAGTTTCAGTCCCCATTACTTGGAGAAGGAAATAAAGGGCAGGAGATATACGGTAGCTCAGTAGCTCAGTGGTAGAACATTTGCCTAGCATGTGCAAGACCCTAGGTTTAATCCCTACTACCACAAAAAAGCAAAACCAGTGTTGGATGGTAATTACCAGGTGACTTACCCCAAAATGTCATTGGTACATAGTTTATAAACTGTCTTTGCTTTTCCCACAGGCCAAGATGACTGGAATGGGACCAGGCCATCACTGAAGGCCCCTCCAGCTAGGCCAGTAAAGGGAGCATACAGAGAACACCCATATGGACGTTATTAAAAACAAACAGGAGGGGAAAATATCAATTATGAGCAAAGTTGTTACTGATTTCTTGTATCTCCCAGGATTCCTGTTGCTTTACCCACAACAGACAAGTAATTGTCTAAGTGTTTTTCTTCGTGGTCCCCTTCTTCTCCCCACCTTCCTCCATTCTTAACTCTGCATTCTGGCTTCTGTATGTAGTATTTTAAAATGAGTTAAAATAGATTTAGGAATATTGAATTAATTTTTTTAAGTGTGTAGATGCTTTTTTCTTTGTTGTTTAAATATAAACAGAAGTGTACCTTTTATAATTAAAAAAAGTTGAGTAAAAAAAAAAAAACCACAAACCTGTTAGTTTCTAAAGTGACATTGCTTGCTTAAAGGTTCTGAAGTAAAGGCTTGTTAACTTTCTCTTAGTTTTGATTTGAGGCATCCCATAAAGTTGTAGTTGCAGAATCCCAAACTAGGCTACATTTCAAAATTCAGGGCTGTTTAAGATCTAAAATCACAAATGTTAACGACAGTAGGCACCACCATGTAAAAGTGAGCTCAGACGTCTCTAAAAACGTTTCCTTTAAAAGCACATGGCGGTTGAATCATAAGGTTAAATTTTAATATGAAAATCCTCATGAATTAAATAGTTGATTCAATTTTTAACATTAATTGACTTAAAATACAACAACAAAATTAGGTTTGTAAAACTGACTTTTTCGTTATGTGGGTTTTGAAATCTAGCCCCAGACATACAGTGTTGAGAGATACTTAGGGGAAGAATAGATTTTGAAGAGGTTGATGGGGGAGAGGGACTGGCCACCTCATTTGAATTTGATGCAGAGCTTCTTAGCCACATTCTTTCCGTAATAGTACTAATAATTAAAATGTCAGTATTTAAAGTGACAAAGTATTTTGTCCACCTGAGATTCTGCACTCCGTGAAAAGCTCTCTTGGACACTGGAGCCAAAAGTTGATGGTTTTCATTAAGTTGACGGCTGTCAAAATTGAATCCAAGGTAGTTAATCAAGTATGTCTCAACACTAGCATGATATAAAAAGGGACACTGCAGCTGAATGAAAAAGGAATCAAAATCCACTTTGTACATAAGTTAAAGTCCTAATTGGATTTGTACCGTCCTCCCATTTTGTTCTCGGAAGATTAAATGCTCATGTGTAAGTCTGCCTAAATAGGTAGCTTAAACTTATGTCAAAATGTCTGCAGCAGTTTGTCAATAAAGTTTAGTCCTTTTTTAATCAAAGTAAATGTGATGAATTGTCATTTTTGGGGGTGGACAATAAAATAATTTTCTCTTTCAAATAAACTTAAATTAATTCTAAAGTTAATGGGCTTGTTAAAAGTTGGAAACATTTTTAAAAGTGGTGGTGGGGATTTTATTTTAAGTTTACAAAAAAAGTTTATTGAGTTGTTAAGTTTTAGTTTAAAAATAACCAAAGCTTTTTCACCCCCTGGAAGTTGTTGAAAGCAGTTTTATCCTATCAAACATCATGATTACTGTAAAGAAAAAGCAAGAGACCAACACTTGGATTGGTTTTCATACATAGGTCTCAACCTTCTGTAGAGCCCTCAAGTGACCGTAAAGAGTGATACCATATCTCTGAGCTCTGAAAGGATTAGCACCTGTCTTTAACAATTCAGCAAATCCTGGGTGCCCTTAAGGGTTTCCCTTCCAATCCCAGAGCCTGTTAACTCAGCTGGCCTGGGGCAGTTTCTGACACAATAGGCTGGCTCTAAGCTCCATTCTACAAGACCAAGAGAGAATCATGGAATCGATTGGCCCCAGTTCCACTGCTCTGTGTTACTTCTCAGGGTTCTCATGTCTTCCCTAAGAGAGCCATCCAAACTACTGGGGGGTGAAAAATCCTCTTGTATGAAGTGCCAAGCTGCCTGCAGCAGTGCATGATGGACATTTTTTTTTCTTTTTAAAACACACCAACAACAAAAAAAATGTATTTGTAGATTGTGATAAAGTGTAAATAACTGAATTTTCAACCATGGTTTGAAGTCAGCTTTCAGGGCATTATGTCTTGTTTTGATGAAAAGAGATCACTCTATACCCCCCTTTTTAAAGGAAAATTATCGCAAGAGAATCAGGATGTGTAAAGCTAACATGCATCGCAAAAAACCAAAGGTAACCTAAATGTCTGATTTTAATAGCACATATTTCTCTTTTATATAAACTGTGACAGCAACTTGCATAAACAATTCTTTAGCTATTAATTTTAATGTAAAAACTTTGCAAAACTTGTTTAATAAAAATAGCTGTAAAAAGAAAAAAACATATGCTGCCGCATAAATTAGCCATAACTCAATAATCCTGCCCATCACAAGTGAACTGTAATGTAACCTGGGCACAAAGTCTGACATCTTAAATGACACATTGTAAAATTTCAATGACTGTAGATTAGAACTCCTGCTGCACCCCAAAGTAAATCTTTCTGTTTAGCTATTTTAAAATGTACAAGGATGAGCCCCATAGGACCCCATATTGATATTCACAGTGAAATGTTACTTAAAATTTAAAAGTTGCATGTTTCTTTCCTGTAATGTATAAACTGCATGCAGGATCTCTATCTTTATTTTGTATGTCTTTAAAACTTCTTTTCAAAAGACTGATCTCTTATTTCTCCATTTTCAGGTGACTGAAAACTCCTAAGACATTTCCTGGACTAGAATGGGTAGTGAAGACCCATGTCAGGTATGTTAAGGTGACTTTCTTGTTAAGGATGTGGGGCTTTTATCATAACTATAAGATAGTTATGCTAGGAGGTAGCCTAGAAGGTAGTGAATAGGCCATTGTGTGTGTGTGTTTTTATAGTCATTTGTACCAAATTTATAACATGGCCATGCTTATGTGGTAGTTTATAGCCCATAATGAGTTTACTACTTCTAATGGTAATAAGACCAGATAGTGTCAACTTAAATGTATTGGATTTCTCTCATTCTGTCAGTAACTCAAGCAGTGTTTCATTAGCAGTCCATTGGTTGCAAGCAGCAAAGTGGCTAATGTGAACAAAAGAAAATTTATTAGACAGATGTTAGGCCCTCAGATTTAGTGTGAAGTCTAGAAAATCTGGTTTGGGAACCACAGCAGCTGTACAGAACTGGAACAGCAGTGGTGGACCACAGGAATGGTCTTAGAACGGGGACTGGCTCCTTGAGCACTGTTACTGGAATAAAGAAAACCTATATATATTTGGTTGCTTCCTGTATTCAAGACTCAGGTTCTAGGGAGGGAATGTCATACTCGGTTAGCTTGAGTCATGTGCCCTAATATTACCAGTCCTCAGTAAGAAAGAACTAATTCTTCAGAGGAAGTTGGGGTGTTACTAGAAAAGAGAAATGAGTACTGGGCAGCCAAAAAGCAGTTATACAGTGTTATCCATATTTTAAGGAAGTAACAGACATAAAGTAACTTCTCAACGCTGCATAATTTGCACAGCTAATAATCAAGCCCAAGTATAGATCCATTCCCAGAATGCTGCTGATGCTTTGTGGGTGTGTGTTTACTGGGGATTGAACCCAAGGGTGCCCCCCGGCCCTTTTTTATTTTGAGACAAGGCCTTGCTAAGTTGCCCAAGCCTCAAACTTGGGATCCTTCTGCCCCAGTCTCAAGGGTAGCTGAGATTACAGGCATGTACAACTCATCCAGCCAGAATGTGTCACCTTAACCTTAGAGCATACCACCCTTTGTCTAGGGAAGGGGCTTTCTGTGCTTAGAAGAGCATTTGTAGGAATATTGTATAGTAGAAAGAACATGAAGCCAGACAGACCTTTAGTTGAATCTATGAGCTGTCTTTTATTTAGTGACCCAAAATAAGTACTTGTCTTTCATATGTGGGGAAGGAAGATGGTGATAATGCATACTATATAGTGACTGGCACACTGAAATAGTTCCAAACAGTGAGGTCCTAAGGCTGAGGGTGGAGCTCCTTGGAGCCGGTGCCTAGCATGTGCACAGTCCTGGGTTTGCTTTCCAACACTGCAGGAAAAATTAAAATATAAAAGGCCAACTAGGTCAGTGCCATATACATAATAAATATTAGCATTTTTTCCGAAGAACACTTTACCTAAAACTCCCTGGTTTGCATGTTTGGAGGCTCTGACATCAGTGAGCCTTCCTGTTGCTTGAAGCCATCAAGGAACTAACTGGCGGATTTTCCCTCCGCCTTTTAGTTATTACGGTTAGGATAGCTCTGAGGAGAAACACTGTTAACTGGTTAGTGAGCCAAAGGCACATAGGGCTTTAGAGTGAAATTTGGCTCTTTGGTGCTCATTTCTTTCAAACCTGCCTCTCAGCCAGGAGCTTCTGAGATGAGGGCTCTAAGAAGAGCCATGTATACTGAGCATAGATCTGGGCACCTGAGAAGTCCAAAATTTTGTTAACAGTCACATGAATGGCTAGAAAGTTTAGGGGAAAAATTCTTTAATTCAAAAGATTTAATCTCAGCTCTTCCTAAGGTAGGTATTTTAAGAATAAGTTTTGTCGTATGTATTTATTTAACATGTTATGAAAATACAGATTATAAAGAGGTTACTGTAGTGGGGCAAATTAACATACCCATCATCTTATATAACCAATTTATTTTTTTTAATTAATTTTATTGGTACATTTTAGATACACATAATGATCACCTTCATCACAGGGAATTTGTACCTGTGCATGATATATCTTGATTCTTTGTTTTCCATTCCCCTTCTCTCCTTTCAACCCCTCTTCTCCTTATTTACAAAAGCTTTGTTTCCATTTTTCCCTTCTTTTCTTTCTCTTTTCTCTTCCTTCTGCCCCCCCAATTCCCCTTTCCCTTCCCATTTCTTCCTATTTCACAATATCTATTACACATTTTGGTACTTATTTATACTTACAGTTTCTCACACCAGAGAAACCATGCAATATTTGAACATGTGGTCTCAAGATGCATTCATTTACCGAAAAATGTCTCACATTTATCCTTCTTTATGGCAGAGTAGTACTCTATTGTATAAAAAAACCCACATCTTCTTTATCCATTCATTGGTCAATGGGCATTTGGGCTGTTTGCAAGATTTAGCCATTACAAACTGTGCTGTTATAAATATGGTAGTGCATATATTGCTGTGGTATGATGCATTTAATTCTGTTGGGAAGATATCAAGAAGGAGAATAGCTGGGTCAAGTGGAACCTCTAGTTGTAGCTTTTTGAGGAATCTCCATACTGATTTCCTCAGTGATTGCACTGTCTATACTCTACTCCCACCAACAATGGAAAAAGGTTTCTTTTTCCGTACAACCCCACCAGCATTTGTAATTGGCTGATTTCTTTTCTTCCTTGCTTTTTTTTTTTTTTTTTGTTACCTGGGATTGAACTCAGGACCTTGCACTTTCAAGGCAGGCACCGGAACCACTGAGCTAAATCCCCGGCCCCTGATTTCTTGATAATAACCATTCTTTCTGGGGTGAGATGGAATGCTAGAATCTAATTTAGCATGAATTCCATATACAGAATAATTTTAATTCCTGTAAGCCTTTGTGTTGTCCATTAGATCTGTAGACTTGTTCGTTCATACCTGCTGCTTTGTACATCTTCATCATCTCCCCATTTTTTCCCTTTTGCTCTATCCCTGGGGTAGTCATAAGAGCAGAAATAGGGTTGAAGTGTAGCTCGGTAATAGTGTGTTTGCCTAGCATGCATAAGACCCGGGTTTGACCCTCGGCATCACCCAAAAAAAAAGGAAATGGAATTTTAAGTGTAGAGAAGTTCCTTCTGTCCTTTGCACTGTGATTTGTGCTTGAAAAGGTAGGTTCCAGTTATTTGTAGACTCAGACTTGCAAGTGGTTTGACTCTCTGTTCTGGGTCTGTGTTGTAGTCTATGTTGAAGTGTTTTCTGTAGCTTTCTATCACTCAATACCTATGACCTTTTGTTTCAGTTCTATAAGCTAGAGTCAGATAAAATGAGTCTTGCCTTGGCTGTGCCTCATCTTACCTTTGTCATCTTAATTTGGATTTTTTTTTTTTTTGGTACTGGGGATCGAACTTGGGACTTTGTGCTTGTGAGGCAGGTGGCGGAACTACTGAGCTAAATCATACCCTGCGCATTTGTCATCTTAGACAAAACAAATCCTTAACCTTTTTTTATGCTTCATTTCTTTATCATCAAATGAAGTTGATAATAATAGTTAATACTTATTGTAAGCAGTTTACTAAAGATTTTCTTCTCTAATTGAGTTAAAATTTATATAACAGGGGTGGGGTTTTAGCC